GGCATGAAGAAACCAGTCTGAGGTGGAGAACAGAGCCATAGCTACATATGAGGACACCGAGGTCCGGACCTCGGTAACATAAATAAAATAAAAACTACTGTTAAGAATGCAAAACACATTTCCTTAGGTCTTTCTTTCCTGCACAATCCTGCAGTGCATGATCGCATCATAACATACCATTGGACTCAAAATTCTTGACACTTTCACCATTTATTTTAGGCATTACGTAATATAATCTCGCTTCAGATCTCAGAACAGACTGAGAAACTGTGTGTGTTAGTGTGAGAGGGGAAGGGCTGGATGTAGCCAATCAGAATCAAGTGAATTGATATATCAAACGGCTCTAGCTGAATCTTGGGAGAAGACCGTCTCCAGAGAGAGGGCTGCTCTGCCCGTTACTGCTTTTACACACCCTTACTTCCGCCCGTTGCCTTCTTTGATCAATGTTGATGCCCGGAATTGTGATGCCCGTAAAGGCATTTTTAATAAATAAATAAATATATACACTACATGAACTACATTATGTGAACACCTGCTCGTCGAACATCTCATTCCAAAATCATGGGCATTAATATGGAGTTGGTCCCCTCTTTGCTGCTATAACGGCCTCTACTCTTCTGGGAAGGCTTTCCACTAGATGTTGGAACATTGCTGCTGGGACTTGCTTCCATTCAGCCAGAAGAGCATTAGTGAGGTCGGGCACTGACGTTGGGCAATTAGGTCTGGCTCGCAGTTGGCGTTCCAATTCATCCCAAAGGTGTTTGATTGGGTTGAGGTCAAGGCTCTGTGCAGGCCAGTCTAGTTCTTCCCCACCGATCTCGACAAACCATTTCTGTATGGACCTCGCTTTGTGGACGGGGGCATTGTCATGCTGAAACAGGAAAGGTCCTTCCCCAAACTGTTGCCACAAAGTTGGAAGCACAGAAGCATGTAGAATCTCATTGTATGCTGTAGCGTTAAGATTTCCCTTCACTGGAACTAAGGGGCCTAGCCCGAACCATGAAAAACAGCCCCAGACCATTATTCATCCTCCACCAAACTTTACAGTTGGCACTATGCATTGGTGCAGGTAGCGTTCTCCTGGCATCCGCCAAACCCAGATTTGTCCGTCGGATTGCCAGATGGTGAAGCACGATTCATCACTCCAGAGAATGCATTTCCACTGCTCCAGAGTCCAATGGCGGTGCGCTTTACACCACTCCAGCCAACGCTTGGCATTGCGCATGGTGATCTTAGGCTTGTATGCTGCTGCTCGGCCATGTAAACCCATTTCATGAAGCCTGCGACGAACACTTATTGTGCTGATGTTGCTTCCAGAGGCAGTTTGGAACTCGGTAGTGAGTGTTGCAAGCGAGGACAGACGATTTTTACACGCTACGCGTTTCAGCACTTGGCGGCCCCGTTCTGTGAGCTTGTGTGACCTACCACTTCGTGGCTTAGCCGTTGTTGCTCCTAGAGGTTTCCACTTCACAATAACAGCACTTACAGTGGACCGGGGCAGCTCTAGCAGGGCAGAAATTTTATGAACTGACTTGTTGGAAAGGTGGCATCCTATGACGGTGCCACATTGAAAGTCAATGAGCTCTTCAGTAAGGCCATTCTACTGCCAAAGTTTGTCTATGGATATTGCACGGCAGTGTGCTCGATTTTATACACATGTCAGCAACAGGTGTGGCTGAATTAGCCGAATCCACTCATTTGAAGGGGTGTCCACATACTTTTGTATATATAGTGTAGTTTAGTAGAGTGGAGATTGATTCATTTCAGTTTGACCTTTCATGCCTACCTTTTTTTAAATGATGTTGCTGGTTATTGTTACAGTATAATAACTGTATTATAAGTTGAAATATTATTTTTTAGAGAGCAGCTGTAGTAACAACCTGCTATAGGGGAAGTAAGAAAAATACTAGGAAATTAATCATACAGTAGCAGAGAAAGACTACAAAATGATTGTTTAAATGAATATATCCACATTGACAGTCACTGATTGGAGTGTACCAGAGTAAGTGCCCCTCTGCAAGGCCACCCTTAGCCTTGTAAATGTGTATTTGTAAGTTAAGATTTGTCTGTATTCTTTTCTCAAAAGTCACAAGAAATTAGCATTTAAAAGGTGTTTTTCAAAATAATCTTCCCGGGGGGGGGGGGGGGGGGGCACCCTCCTCATCTGTTCACAGGAGGACCTCCAGCTGATAGCCCCAATCAATGTTATACTCTCTTACGCCCCTGCCTGTAGTATAGTTACAGACAGAGACTGTGTGACACACAACACTTTAATTAAGTCAGAGGATATCTCTCTCTTTACCCCTCTGGTCAATCTGTCTTTCTGTCCTTCGTTTCCCCTGTGTGGGAGGCCAGTGTGCTGGGGTGAGAAGCTGGGAAAGTCCCATGATTTATGGCCTACTGCAGGCCTGACTGCCTCTCGCCTCAGTGAGGTTAGCAGTGAGGGTAACAAGGGTTGATTGCTTCGCTCTATTCTCTTATTTGGGAAATCCTATATTGTTCATTGGGATTTATTGTCACTCACATCCTTTCCACTTTGCGATCTGATTAACATCCTTTTTGGGAAAGGGAAAAAACTTTGAGTGCATTTTATTAGTTTGATTATTACATTGTGTGGACCAGATGTTAATAATTAAGCAATGCAGAGAGAGAGAGAGAGGTTATGGAGATTTTATCACCTGTCTCACATGGTAGACTTTCATTTCCCTGTTATATTTGTTTCACCTATAGAAGAGAGCGTTACATAGATCCTCATAAAACTATAAATGCCTATTTATACACTGGACAAACCCAAGAGCTAAACTTGTGATTCTTTATTTTATTTCCTCAGAACTTAAATGCAACTCTTTCTAGATTTCCTCATTCAATATAAATATATTACATACTTTTTTAGGATCCATTTCATTAATACATTCATCTTTACATTACATGTTTCTCTGCTTAGGTAGAGTAATGACCACTATTGCTTTCAAGTGTACCAAAGCAGCAAACCACTGTGATTATGGATGGATCACACTGGCATTGCGCATGGTGATCTTAGACTTGTGCATGGTCTACAAAACCCTCCATACTCTATGCTGACTGTTGAATCACCTTGAGGTCCAGTTGAATAGTCCTGCTCTCGTTTTGCCTCAGATGGAGGATCAACGGACTCTGGGTTATTAAAGTCAGCCAAGCTTACATGGAGAGCAGGGCACACGGCAGAATATTGTGACTCAAGGCCAGAGGAGGAGGTTTGTTTTTATCATGGCAAAGCACCCAAATCATGTTGGTATGAAGAGGGCTATATAAATGCAAATTGTATTGGAGATCTATTAGAGTCCTGGAAAAGGGTTGTATGTAAATGTCTATAAGACCACAGTTGAGCACTCAGCCCAGGCAGATTAGTATGGGCTGCGATAAAAGACAAAATAGAAATAAAAAAATGCAATTGCCTTGTGGTAAATCATGGTGAACAAGGTGAGAACTTCAGTGAATGGTTGAGGTATTCTATGTGATTTATTGTATATGCAAGAGAGATGTATTGAAGAGAGATTGTTGTAAATGCGCCAGTGTCAGAGATTGTTGGGTGCAGTTCATAGTATTTGCTTTACTAAGGAATTAACTCTCATGCGTAAAATGTGATCGTGTTCCAATTCTAAGGTATGAAATCCAGAGATCATCAAAGTTATGTATCGTAGTAATTTGGGGCTTTTATTGTAGTAGTGAGAAACAAGGGAAAGTTTCAACAGGCTAAATAATTTATTGCTTTGCTTGTTTGTGTCCTACAGAATACTGAATAATGACTTTATTTTACCCTGTAAAATAACAACCAATATAAATTGATTCATTAAGCCCATAACATAAACCCATCACATACACATGTTAAAATGTATGTTGTTGAAAAACAGTACAAGTTCTATACAACAAGAGGGGATCTGTGAGTGCTGTGAGCAAGCGTTGTCATGGAGATCAATAGTAGAGAAAGGGTGCCCTCTAGTTATTTTCTAGGAGAAGCGCAGGCAGTCCTTTCTGACGTCCAGTGCTTGGGCATTAGTAGCTAGGTTTCCATCCAATTTAAAACAGATTTTCATGTGAATATTCTAAAATCTGCTTAAAACAATATGCGCATTTTCACACCTGTGTGTTTCCATCAAACAGACTTATTGCGGACAAAAGGCTGTGCGTGATAACGTAGTGCACATAACATAACTTTAGCGGTTAAATTCCCATGTACCGAAGACAAAATATGTTTTTGTCACAAAAACTGACGCGTTGGCCTAAATAGCTAATTTGCCCCACTCAGTGCGGGTAGGCTACCTACATGATGAGATTATTATGGATAAGAGCGATAAAATGTGTTTGTCAATGGCAGCCAAGCATCGATCATCATGTCACCAGAATAAGACACTCGATATTTATTGGAAAGGTGCATCAAGCTCATCACCGTGCACTTTCACCCCCCTTTAAAATTCATCGTAATTGATTTAATCTGTAGTCTAATAAACGGCATGCTTTCCCGAGTCGTAGTGGGAGGACCACACAACATCATTGCGTGACTCCAAGTTTACTTCGATATGATGGTTATTATATCAATATTTGCGCATAAAGGCGTTTCAACCGCCATTTCTCGCATAATTAATTTTACTGACACAAAAAGATCCGACCATTTTGAACAAACACATTTTATTTTTCCATGCTTCAGGTAATTAATCGGCATGAAATGGTTGGATGGAAACCTGGTTACTGATTCACAGCAGGATATTTCCCTATTTCCCTGCCCCACTGGTACTATGGACAGAGTTTCAATCACATACACGCAACAAAGTACCCACTGGTCAAAAACTGGTTGAATCAACGTTGTTTCCACGTCATTTCAACCCCCAAAAATCTATGTGATGAGTTAAATCAACGTGGAAAACGAATTGTCATCAATGTAAGGGCATTTTGTGTTTTTTTCACCCAACTTTTAACCTAAATCCAATGACATGGTTAATTTTTTGTTGTTGATATCACGTTGAATTCATGTTAGTTGACAACTCAACAAATTTAAATCAAAACTAGATGTTGGAACTGACCTCTGTGCCAAGTGGGTAGTGTCTATTCAGCTGTTTATTCTTAAAAAAAACACAATTCAGAACGTCGACATCTTCATAATAAGCCTCCTGACTATTACAAAAAGGTGGCAAAAGTCAGCACACAGAAATGACAGTTGAGTAATATCTGAATAATTCCCATTTTTAAATAATAACATATATACAGTATATACAACTCGAGAAGCATTAATACAATGCTGGTGATGTCAACATTATAGAATGTTTCTCTTTAAAGTATTTACTCTATTGCAACTGGCTCATGATCTATAAAAATATATATCACAATACTGTTAAAACATATTATGACAGCAAATCAAAAGCTTTGATAATGAACACCACTCCACCTTTCACCTCCTACCCTTCGTTTGAGTCTTTGGGAATAAGTATGCCCCTGGCGTCACTTCTTAGGAACTGCTATGTTCTTGCACACCCATGTCATGCCATCCTATGAAGTAAGTAAACAGACTCATATTATAGCGGTACAGTATTAAACATTAGTGTGCAATCAGTGTCTATGAGGCTCTCTAAATGTACGTACAGTACGTGTGCGTTGTGTGCAAATGTAGTGTATGGGCAGTTTGTGTGTACAGTGCATTCGGAAAGTATTCAGACCCCTTTACTTTTCCCACATTTTGTTACAGCCTCATTCTAAAATGGATTAAATTAATATTTTTCCTCACCAATCTACACACAATACCCCATTATGACAAAGCGAACATTTATTTTTTACATGTAAAACAGAAAAAAAACGTATTTACATAAGTATTCAGATCCTTTGCTATGAGACTCGAAATTGAGCTCAGGTGCATCCTGTTTCCATTGATCATCCTTGAGATGTTTCTACAACCTGTCTATATAAGGTCCCACAGTTGACACAGTGCATGTCAGAGCAAAAACCAAGCCACAAGGGCGAAGGAATTGTCCTTAGAGCTCTGAGACAGGATTGTTTTCGAGGCACAGATCTAGGGAAGGGTACCAAAACATGTCTGCAGCATTGAAGGTCCCCAAGAACACAGTCGCCTCATCATTCTTAAATGGAAAAAGTTTGGAACCACAAAGACTCTTCCTAGAGCTGGCCGCCTGGCCAAACTGAGCAATCGGGAGAGAAGGGCCTTGGTCAGGGAGGTGACCAAGAACTCGATGGTCACTCTGATAGAGCTGCAGAGTTCCTCTGTGGAGATGGGAGAACCTTCCAGAAGGACAACCATCTCTGCAGCACTCCACCAATCAGGCATGTATAGTAGAGTGGCCAGACAGAAGCCACTCCTCAGTAAAAGGCACATGACAGCCCGCTTGGAGTTTGTCAAAAGGCACCTAAAGGACTCTCAGACCATGAGAAACAAGATTCTCTGGTCTGATGAAACCAAGATTGAACTCTTTGGCCTGAATGCCAAGCATCAGGTCTGGAGGAAACCTAGTATCATCCCTACGGTGAAGCATGGTGATGGCAGCATCATGCTGTGGGGATGTTTTTCAGTGGCAGGGACTGGGAGACTAGTCAGGATCGAGGGAAAGATGAACGGAGAAAAGTACAGAGCGATCCTTCATGAAAACCTCCTCCAGAGCGCTCAGGACCTCAGACTGGGGCGAAGGTTCACCTTCCAACAGGACAACAACACTAAGCACACAGCCAAGACAACGCAGGAGTGGCTTCGGGACAAGTCTCTGAATGTCCTTGAGTGGCCCAGCCAGAGCCCGGACTTGAACCCGATCTAACATCTCTGGAGAGACCTGAAAATAGCTGTGCAGCGACGCTCCCCATCCAACCTGACAGAGCTTGAGAGGATCTGCAGAGAATGGGAGAAACTCCCCAAATACATTTATATTTTACATTTTAGTCATTTAGCAGACGCTCTTATCCAGAGCGACTTACAGTTATTGAGTGCATACATTTATTTATATTTTTTCATACTTTCAAATACAGGTGTGCCAAGCTTGTAGCGTCATACCCAAGAAGACTTGAGGCTGTAATCGCTGCCAAAGGTGCTTCAACAAAGTACTGAGTAAAGGGTCTGAATACATATGTAAATGTGATATTTGCTTTTTTTTTTTTTTTTGCAGAAATGTCTAAAAAACTGTTTTTGCTTTGTCATTATGGGGTATTGTGTGTAGATTGATGGGGGGGGGGGGGACAATTTAATCAATTTTAGAATAAGGCTGTAACGTAATAAAATGTGGAAAAAGTCAAGGGGTCTGAATATTTTCCGAATGCACTGTGTTTTATACCTGTACTCCCTCTGCGGTGATTGCAGAGCAGGCCTGGATCTGCCATACCCGGTCTCTGATGGTGTGCAGGTTGAGGCCCTCAGCTAGCTCTGATGCAGGAGCTGCAGTCATCAGGTCCTGCTTGTTGGCAAATATCAACAGTGGCACCATGCTCAACTTCTCTTCTTCCATCAACTCAGCTAGCTCCTGCTTGTGTGTGTGTGGGTGAGGGGGGGGGGGGGGGGGGGGGGGGGGGGTTCAATAACTGCATCAAAATAGGGATATCAGAAGACAGCTGAATAGAATATTGTGCATTTTTACAGACTGGTGTTTTGTTACCTGACCCGTTTCTTCAAATCGTTTCCTGTCTGAACTGTCAATCACATAGATCTGTGACGAAGATGGACAGAGGAGAGTATTAGTGACAGATAGGTTCAACTGTCTCAAGCATTCTGTCTCCATTTATTTGTGGTCAGAATACTTTTTGGAGTTGCCAATAGGACCTACCAGTACGTCAGTGTTCTCAAAGTAGTTCCTCCAGTATGGGCGGATCTTGCGCTGGCCTCCAATGTCCCAAACGTTTAGCTTAAATCCCTGGGACTGCATGCTCTTTATGTTGAATCCCTGTGGACAGAGGAGGCCAGTACCAATTGATGTAATGCTTTGGACAGTTTGATCACTGTGAGCATGCGTAACTATGCTGTCATGAGTGTCTGAGCTGTGTACATGCTATTGTCTATATCCAGGGTTGGGTAGGTTACTTTCTAAATGTAATCCATTACCGTTACTAGTTACCTGTCCAAAATTTATATTCAGTAATATAAATGTTGGATTACCCAAACTCAGTAACGTAATCTGTTTACTTTCTGTTACTTTTGGATTACTTTCCCCTTAAGAGGCATTAGAAGATCACAAAAAGGATCCACAAATGCATTTGGTGCGTCATCATATTGGTCTCTGCCTTTAAAAAATATATATATTGGACACATCCTTTCTGAATTTAAAAGTATTACAGTTTTTTGTAATCCGATAACATGTAATGTTACTCCCCAATCCTGTGTATATCAGTTCATTTACCTGTGTAGGGGTGATGTGGCTGACATCCTCTGAGGCCAGCTGTTTAAGCAGGGTGGTCTTGCCAGCATTGTCCAGGCCTAGCAACAGTAACCGCACCTCCTGGTCTGGAGAGTGCTTCAGTCTTCGCAGAATCGACAGCAAGCCCTGCAGTGCATCACACATCCAGGTCAGGTGACATCATGACAAACAACACAAGTTGGTACTTAGGTTATAGTTATGTAATGAGATAATAAGAACCTAGGCAACAAGGCATTATGTTCAAACATAATTAACAGCAGGTGGTCCAGCTCCAAACAACTTCTGTTCTGTTAACAGGGTTACCTGAAAGCACATTATTGCATAACAGAGCCAACACACCAGTGCAGAAATAATGCGAGGCCAGGGGCCACGGGCAACCTCGGCCAATCACGAAACACCCTGGTGTGATTGGGATTGGCAAGGCACAGATTAATCCAGAAGAGCCCGAGCTCCGCGTGCAGGAGACAAGAAGCTCTAAGAGCACAGATTTAACTGTTAGCCTCTTGCCATGGCCTACATTCACAGCACCTTTGATTGGACAGGTAGGGTGAGACATGTGCACAGCAAGAAGAAGACTCTTCCAGTGTTGAGGGAGGCTTATGAGGTCTTCTTATTCACTGCTGTCACTGTAATTTTTGAGCCAGCCAACTAAATAGACAACAGATTCTCTAGCCACATCCTTGTGATATAGTTAATGTCACAATCACTGTAGATTGCATGCCAGCTGAGTAGGCAACAATAATTAGGATTAGCTAAGTAAATTGAGACTACACGTGTCACGGGTGACTCTGTAGTCAGCTTGGAGGGTGAATGTCTTTTCAAAGGTTTGGGGTACCTTATTACTGCAGGAATCAGTAATAAGGTATCAAGCCATACTTGTTAGTTTAGATAGCTGATTGCCAATCACAAGATAAAAATGTGTCCATAACATTTGAAACATTGTCACTGTTGTTAGCTAGCTATAGCTTGCCTATGCTTAACCTTACTTGACAGATATGACATGGTATTATTTGTTATGATGTTCTGTTCTGACAGTAACAACACAGTTATTAATGATTTGCATGAATGACAATAAGCATGCCCTGCCAGGTACAGACCTAATTGGCACGTACAGGCTGTACTGTAGCTAACGTTACTAACCCTAGCTAGCTAACTGTTAGAAAGCTACGTTAAAGTTAGTTGCGTCACACTTATGGATAACTGACTAACGCTATTCTCTCACCCATACGATATTGCATTTAGCCATACAGCTCAATTACAACTCTATGTTTATAATATTGCAGGGTACTTACCATGGTTTGCTCAGCTAGTGGCTCCTGTTCAGGCTGAGTGAGTGGATTAGCTAGCTAGCTAGTAGCATTTGAGTGTATTCATCATTCGAACAGCCGTTAAAGCTCTCCGTAGCTATGGTAGCCGTGACGTCAACATAAACAACGACATCGGCCATTCTTTGTCCCTGCACGAGACCCCATCACCCAAATTAATTGTGTACAAGACATTAATATCTGGAATTATTTCAGTTTTTCTGATTAGGAATTGCCTATCTTAATAAATTATCTTCATTTCCAGTGCTTGTGACTCACTCATACAAATCGTCTACAGCAGGTGTAGGCACTGTTCCTGGATGCAGGATTTTGCAAATATGTCTAGATGCGGCCCGGTGTATAGGCGAGTGGGTGTGTCGAAACGAGTGGGTGTATGGAAAGCGAATCAGGTAATTGGGCAGATTTGTTGCACTCAAGACCGTTTTGCGTGGCTGATTGGGCTGCACGACGAGTCGATAAGCCGGCAACCAGTGCACGGGTGTTGTATGGACATCCTGCTGACCTGAGACCTGACCAATAGTGTGCAACTGCAGCCCGCAATTCGGCCGGTCCTGCATATGCCCTCCAGGCCCACCCATGGCCGCTGCACCCCTGCCCAGTCATGTGAAATCCATAGATTAGGGCCTAATTTATTTATTTCAATTGACAGATTACCTTATATGAACTGTAACTCAGTAAAATCTTTGAAATTGTTGCATGTTGCGTTTATAATTTTTTTCAGTATCCTATGATACTGTATATTACATTTGGTTACATAAGACAGAAAGTTACTTACCGCAAAAATGAAAGGAGGGTGGTTGGTTGGGATGGAGGAAATGTCTAGCATCTCATCACCGACAACTTTAGTATTTTTAGCTAATTTGTAACTTTTCAACTACTTACTACTTTTTAGCTGCTTTGCAACTACTTAGCATGTTATCTAACCCTCCCCCTAACCTTTTAGCTAACCCTTCCCCTAACCCTAACCGTTTAACCTAACACCTAACCTTAACCCCTAGCCTAGCTAACTTTAGCCAGCCAGCTAGCTAACGTTAGCGCTATCCACCTAGCTAAGGATAGCCACAAGAAATTGGAATGCGTAACATATTATACATTTAGAAATTCGTAACATATTGTACGTTTTTCTAATACGTACCATATCATACCAATTGTAATTTCTAACATATCATACGAAATGGATGATGGACATCCACAAATTAATACATACCATATGAAGCGTAACATATCTTACTAAATGGATTGTCTCTAATTTATGTAAATAATAATATGAAATGCTCTGAGACCATCTGAGCAGCCTGGTCTCACACACTAGACGTAACATAGTCAATGTAAATCCGGGAAAGTCAATTTGTATGATATCTTACCCTTGGTATGGTTACATAAAACAGAAGGTTACTTAAAGGGATAATCCACCCCACACCACTAATTCCTATCATTAACAGTGTTCAATTGTGTTAAATAATAATTTTTCATTTAGTCGTTATAACAAGGTTGGTAGAAACATGTGAAAATCGTTTTTGGAAATCTGTTGCAGCTCATGTCTACAACAAATGCAATGCTCTCCCTTTCTGGGCTGGCTGGCTAGCTAGCTAGTTAGAAAACATAGCTACTAATAATACCAAACTCAGTATCAGCACAAACTGCACTATCAATTTAGGAGTCTTACTCACAGAGTTCAAATTACAATTAGTAAATGTTCCGAATTAGCAAAACGTACAATATGTTATGAATTTGCGAAATGTGGTATCTGTTTCATATTTACTAAATGTGTGATATGTTACGAAATTCCAATTTCTTGTGGCTAACATTAGCTAGGTGGCTGGGTGGATAACGCTAACGTTAGCTCTTTATTAACTAGCTATAACTGGCACGTTCATGTGTCTCTGGCCATGATCATCTTTAGAATGCCCTTACCACCTGGGTGGTCTAAACCAATCATAGCACAGTATGATATGACAGTAGAATGTATCCAATTACAATTCAGTATGCTGACACATGAATATTACAGATGTCACCTTGATACATGCACATCGTCTACTCAATGAGGAGGGTATGAACAGCAACAACACCGGGACACAGTGCCCTTCGCTCCCGCTTGACAAGCACTATTGTCTGGCAATGGCATGGGAAGTAGCTACCTAGTATCAGATTGACAGTCACAGTAAGCACACGCATACAACGCCGCATGAAGCAACAGTCTCACCCAACAGTACTTTTAAGAAAAAATTAACAATCGTCAGTTTTATAACTGAAAATGTACAATTAAAACTAACAGTGAAATATGACTCAGACTCATACTCTTGCTTCAAAACAGAAGTCCTAACTCTCGCGGTATGGTAGCTCAATGTACAGAAGTTGCGTGGTAAGAAACGGAAAAGAAAAAAACCCTGCTCAATCAAAACCGTCTAACCGCTAGGTTTTATGGATATTATTGCCACATTCAAAACAACTGGGAGCTCGGAACTTGGAACTCGCATATCTCTAACTTCCGACTTTAGTGCATTCAAAACAACTGGGAACTCTGAAAAATACGAGGTCAAATCATGACGTCAGTGATCTTCAGGTCGGAAAGTCGGAGCTCTAGAAAGAGGCCAGAGCTCCTGAGTTGGAATTCCGAGTTGGAAGACCGTTCAAAACGATTTTTCCCAGTCTGAGCTTTTGTTTTCAGTTCCCAGTTGTTTTGAAAGCTCAGAAGTTGGAGATTAACCTCTCCCTCAACATCAACAAAACAAAGGAGCTGATTGTGGACTTCAGGAAACAGCAGAGGGAGCACGCCCCTATCCACATCGACGGGACTGCAGTGGAAAAGGTGAAAATCTTCTTACAATCTGAAATGGTCCACCAAACAGTGTGGTGAAGAAGGCGCAACAGTGCCTCTTCAACCTCAGGAGGCTGAAGAAATTCGGCTTGGCCCCTAAGACCCTCACAAACCTTTACAGATACACAATTGAGAGCATCCTGTCGGGCTGTATCACCGCCTGGTACGGCAACTGCACCGCCCGCAATCACAGGGCTCTCCAGAGGGTGGTGCGGTCTGCCCAACGCATCACCGGGGGCACACTGCCTGCCCTCCAGGACACCTACAGCATCCAATGTCACAGGAAGGCCAAAAAGATAATCAAGGACATCAACCACCCGAGCCACAGCCTGTTCAACACGCTATCATCCAGAAGGCGAGGTCAGTACAGGTGCATCAAAGCTGGGACTGAGAGACTGAAAAACAGCTTCTATCACAAGGCCATCAGACCGTTAAATAGCCATCACTAGCCGGCTTCCACCCGGTTACTCAACCCTGCACCTTAGAGGCTGCTGTCCTATGTACATAGACATGGAATCACTGGTCACTTTAATAATGTTTACATACCGCTTTACTCATTTCATATGTATATACTGTATTCTACTGTATTTTAGTCAATGCCACTCCGACATTGCTCGTCCTAATATTGATATATTTCTTAATTCCATTATTTTACTTTTAGATTTATGTGTATTGTTGTGAATTGTTAGATACTACTGCACTGTTGGAGCTAGGAACACAAGCATTTCGTTACACCCGCAATAACATCTGCTAAATATGTGTATGTGACCAATAAAATTTGATTTGATTTCCCAGTTCCCAGTTGTTATGAACGCGGCATTACACAGAACAACGTCCTGTGTAATTGCTGGCTATTCTTTTGGGTGCTGACGATACGTAATTTGATGTGACGTCGGAGCTTCAGTCCGCCCATACTAGTTGCCGCGCAACTCCATCGTATTGTGGAGTTGAGTTTAATCAAATTTTCCCAGTCGGAGCTCGTTGTTTTACGAGTTCCCAGTTGTTTTGAACGCACTAAAGTTGGAAGTCTGAGATTTCCCAGAGACTACAAATGCTCATTGTGCAAATGTATATGTTTTCAATAAACATTGGATACAAAATATAGTTCACATGTTGACAACAATCTAAGCCAACCCCGTTTGTTTTGCCCCATAGTTGCACACGCGTCGGTTTTGTTGCTAAACAACTCCTTTCCACATGCCCACTACTAATCCTTTCGACACACCCACTTGCCCATACTCCAGTCGCCATATTGAGTGGCTGCTACCCCCTTCTCGGATTTGTTCCAACTAGGCACCACACCTGATAAACTGAGTTAATTGATCCGTTCAGTGATTGACTAAATTCAACACACCTGGTCTTCCAAGTTGGCTAAATCAAAAATATGAAGTCCCTGCGGCACTCCAGGACCAGGGTTGCTTACAGGTAACTATAATTGTGGGATTTTTTTTTTCTTCCATAGGATTTGCTATTATTTTGCTTGTCTGAAAATCATGAACTTTACTACCAGTTCATAAGATTTGTATTTATTTTACTTTTCACGTTGAAAACTGATATTCCAGTAAAGTACACACACTAAAGGGTAAACAAATATGTTTTGAGCAAAATTTTTTTTTTTACAATTGCAAACTTCAAGGAGTTGGGCAGGGGTGTCGAACTCATTTTACGAGGGCAGAGTGTCTGCAGGTTTTTGGTTTTTCCTTTCAATGAAGGCCTAGAAAACCAGGTGAGGGGAGTTCCTTACTAATTAGTGACCTTAATTCATCAATCAAGTACAAGGGGGGGAGAAAGAAACTGCACACTTGGCCCGCCATGGAATGAGTTGGACACATGGAGTAGGGCATTCAAGGAGTTGGTTTGATGGGCAGTCGTGATGTCATCGGCCTCCCCCCTTGCTTGAGGCACAATAGAGGAGAACAATAGGAAAGCCAGCCCCCCCCATCCCATGTCATGACTTACCTGGACCATCTATTGAAATGTTCCTTTTGTTAAGTAAATCAGGTGAAAAGGCGACTGGAGTGCCTCTTTATCAGTTGCATAAAAATACTTATCCAGTTAAAGTATGACAACACCGCCCTCCAGTGGCTGGTGCAAAATCTCTTTCTGGTTGAGATTTGAGAATCACTGAACGCTTTCCGACAGGGACTAAACATGTCACGTACGTAATGGTTTGAATTAGCTGTTCATTTCACAAATTCTGGATCAACTGCTATATGATTCTCGTCGTGTTCTCGGCCAACAACCCAGAAAGATGCCACAGAGAACACTGGGATCCATTGTAGGTCTGCTTTGCACCGGGACCTGTTTGGTACAGGTAAGCTGCAGTTTGCGTTCATAGCGCGGTAGGCGCTTTTAACCAAGCCCGTGGATCGCAGCTGGATCCTAGGCCTTCTATTGTGCGTCTTTGTTTCACCACAAAGGGAACTTGGGAATGGCTCGCCAGCAACTCCAACTTTGAGTGACGTCAGTTTTGGCAAATCGTGTGTTTGTTGATATATTTATAGCTACAATGTTTATAGCTTGAAATACTTATACGCTATTATCCGAAATCTTACCAAGACTTCCAAGACTGAGTTGATAAACCAGCCGCTAGCTACCTAACGTTTAGTTACTTTGTCTTCAATAGCTCTCGGAAGGAAGTTCCTAGGATGATCATAGAGCTAGAATCAGATGATGGTAAAGAGGAAGGTACACACTTTGTTTTTACTGAGAGTCGGAGTTTTCCCTTAACAGAGGCAAAAAGGAGACCATATGCTGTTTTCTTGCGCTCTGGTGGTGTAGGGGACCGTCGTAAAAGTGCAATACCGGTGATTGCGTGAAAGTAAAAAATAAATACATTGTTGCATTCCCATTCAGGAGAGTTAGACCTATATAAAGATTACACACACTGCATAGAGGCCCACATATTTTTTTTTTTTGGGGGGGGTTACCTCTAGTTACTACGAGTGTTATATTTAACCCATTTACAAAGAAGCTTTCTATCCAGGTAAAATTGAGACGTAAAACCACAATGTGAAGTCACTAACCCCCCCTCATCCATAATGACATTTTTAGAGTAATGTATTTTTTTTTAAGTCACCAGAAGTGACCTTGTCACAGTTGTTCTATAAAAACCCACCGCTGCTGAAAAAAATCCTAAGGGAATCAATGAAGTTCATAGGCCTATTCATGCTTTATGACCTTGTCATTTTTAGATAAAACACACAAAGTACTGTCAAATTTCAAAATGTAATTGTGGGGGAAAAGTTGGTTTAAGATCTCTAGATCATCTAGGATGCACTATGCAGAAATCTAATAGTTTGCCAAATTTCAGTTTAACAAAACAAGCAAGTATAGTGTAGAACATTTTGCAACGCCAGGGTTGTGGGTTCGATTCCCACGGGGGGCCAGTATGAAAAATAAAAAAATAATGTATGCACTCACTAACTGTAAGTCGCTCTGGATAAGAGTGTCTGCTAAATGACTAATGTAAAAAATAATTGTACCATCTAATCCGCTGTGAAATATATTTTCCATAACCAACAATATTGTATTTACAGCGGTTTGAAGTTGGTGTACAAAAGTGAAAGACTCAAACGAAACAAAATGGGAAGCATAGAAATAGCACACATAGAACAGATATACTGCTTCATAGACTTGTTTCGATGAGAATGACAGATCTATAACTCACATTTCTATTAGATTTTTCAGTTGTCCAAAAAGTTACATATTGCAGCTTTAATTGATTAAATCCTGTAAACACTAAGACAGTCCCTTAGCCGCGAATTCACAATCCCCCATTCAAACCAACATAAAGTCACTTTTTGAAAACGGGACAGATTTGAAAAAAGGTTTTACCCTTGCTCTTGACCGTCATCTGAATCTACTTATATCACTCATCTTCCTAGGACCTTCAGTGGGCGAGGTATTGACGAGCACACTTCGAATATCCAAACTGAAAACACATTTACTGCGGTGGTCCGCTAAGCTAGCTAATGTTTGCAAGCATAATATATTTTGTAGACATACACCGATCTATTTTATCTGTTGTCTGCAGCTAATGGCCAATTACTATTTTGAAGTATACAACAAGTCACTTCGATAGCTGGCTGTTAGTTACCACCAGTAAACATAGCATGCTAAATTACCGGTTAGCTGGCAGGCTAGTTGGTGTTCTAGCTAAGTAACTGCGTTTTTCCTGTTATGTATTTGTTGGTAGTGATGCATATAGCTTGCTGTAATTGTTAGCTAGCTACTGGCCACAAACCTGTTGTTTTAGCCTACCACAGTACCTGGTTAAAATCCTACTCTGCTAAACTTATTTAAAACTGCATTTGGCAGCTTCTATGACATGTTTGTATAATCGGGAGATGTCACTTACCTGTCAATGCAACACCTACAGTGCATTCGTAAAGTATTCAGACCCCTTCACTTTTTCCACATTTTCTTACGTTACAGCCTTATTCTAAAATTGATAAAATTGTTTTTCCCCCCTCAATCTACACACAATACCCCATAATGACAAAGCAAAAACAGGTTTAGAAATGTTTGCTAATTTATCAAAATATCACATTTACATAAGTATTCAGAACCTTTACTCAGTACTTTGTTGAAGCACATTTGGCAGCGATTACAGCCTCGAGTCTTCTTGGCCGAGCTATCTTCAGCTCTCTCCAGAAATGTTAGATCGGGTTCAAGTCCGGGCTCTGGCTGGGCCACTCAAGGACATTCAGAGACTTGTCCCGAAACCACTCCTGCGTTGTCTTGGCTGTGTGCTTAGGATCGTTGTCCTGTTGGAAGGTGAACCTTCGTCCCAGTCTGAGGTCCTGAGCGCTCTGGAGCAGGTTTTCATCAAGGATCTCTCAGTACTTTGCTCCGTTCATCTTTCCCTCAATCCTGACTAGTCTCCCAGTCCCTGCCGCTGAAAAACATCCCCACAGCATGACGCTGCCACCACCATGTCTCACCGTAGGGATGGTGCCAGGTTTCCTCCGGATGTGACGCTTGGCATTCAGGCCAAATAGTTCAATCTTGGTTTCATCAGACCAGAGAATATTTTGTTTCTCATGGTCTGAGAGTCTTTAGGTGCCTTTTGGCAAACTCCAAGCGGGCTGTCATGTGCCTTTTACTGAGGAGTGGCTTCCGTCTGGCCACTCTACCATAAAGGCCTGATTGGTGGAGTGCTGCAGAGATTGTTCTTGTGGAAGGTTCTCCCATCTCCACAGATGAGCTCTGTCAGAGTGATCATCGGGTTCTTGGTCACCTCCCTGACCAAGGCCCTTCTCCCCCGATTGCTCAGTTTGGCCAGGCGGCCAGCTCTAGGAAGAGTCTTAGTGGTTCCATACTTCTTCCATTTAAGAATGATGGAGGGACAGTGTTCTTGGGGACCTTCAATGCTGCAGACATTTTTTTTGGTACCCTTCCCCAGATCTGTGCCTCGACACAATCCTGTCTCGGCGCGCTGTGGACAATTCCTTCAACCTCATGGCTTGGTTTTTGCTCTGACATGCACTGTCAACTGTGGGACCTTGTATAGACGTGTGTGCCTTTCCAAATCATGTTCAATCAATTGAATTTACCACAGGTGGACTCCAATGAAGTTGTAGAAACATCTCAAGGATGATCAATGGAAACAGGATGCACCTGAGCTCAATTTTGAGTCTCATAGCAAAGGGTCTGAATACTTAAGTAAATAAGGTATTTCTGTGTTTTATTTTTTATAAATTTACAAACAGTTCTAAACCTGTTTTCACTTTGTCATTATGGGGTATTGTGTGTAGATTGATGAGGATTTTTATTTATTTAATCCATTTTAGAATAAGGCTGTAATGTAACAAAATGCGGAAAAAGGGAATGGGTCTGTGTACTTTCTGAATGCACTGTATTTTGTAATTTGATTTTCAAAGTATTGAATGCTATTTGAATGTTCATCCACAATGAAAGTGGGTCTGTGCCTTTGCAGGCTTGCTTGTGTTAGTGTTTTGTGCAGTAAATGCCAATGTAACTTTGTCAAACAGCTGTGCATGTATGCATAATCCAGAGATTTTATCCCAGTTGTGTGTGTGATGTCACTGAATAGCATGCCTGTTTGTGTTTAGGGTAAGGAGTTCTGTTTTGGAGTGAACAATGAGCAATACCGGTGTGAGATGGGGTACTGCTGCGGGGAGACAGAGTGCTGCACCTACTACTACGAGCTGTGGTGTATGTTCTGAGTGTCCTCTATTCTCTCCTTGCCTTTCTGACACCACTCTGTCCTTCTTCCCAACATCTATTTACATGACTTATTCTTCATTATGGGAATCTCAGAATTTGTCACTTTCATTGAGTCACTCCAATTTGACAGTTAATCACGTTGAAACAAATAGCGATGAAACAAATTAGCATTGGCCAAAATGAGTTGACTGAGAATGTAACTGTGATTTTGTGCAGGGTTCTGGCTGGTGTGGACCCTCATTATAATGCTGAGTTGCTGCTGTGCCTACCGACACCGTCGGGTCAAGATGCGGCTGCAGCAGGAGCAGCGCCAGCGTGAAATCAGCCTTATGGCCTACCAGGGAGCTTCTAGCTCCTTCATCTCCCCTCCACCCCTCAACCTGAGTGAGTCTCTCAGCCCCCACTGGACACTTATTGCACAACTCTTACATCTGCACTCGCTACATCCCTGAAATGACTTCACCACTTGTCCCTCTGAGTTAACTGTTTAGAGTAATTAGGCCTGGTGGCTTGGAGATGGTTCTTTGCAGATTCAGAACCACACCTGACCATGAGTTATTTAGTTAAACACGAGCTAACCCTATCTAGACTGTTAACCCTTTACCTTGGCTTTACCTTGGCTCAGCTGGTAGAGCACGGCGCTTGTAACGCCAAGGTAGTGGGTTCGATCCCCGGGACCACCCATACACAAAAAAAAATGTATGCACGCATGACTGTAAGTCGCTTTGGATAAAAGCGTCTGCTAAATGGCATATTAATTAATATTATTATTAATTAATAATTAATTAATTAATAGTGGGAATTGGCCTAAATGGTTGGGGCTAAATTTAAATGTTTCTTACAGAAGAAATATGAACAGCATATGCATGGTAGCAATTGAAATAAATGAATGAATAAAGTTTTTGGTGGTAATCGGCTTTGAAATCAGCATATTTAGGGTTATGGTTTGCATATTATGACCAAACAAAGTACTAGGGTAGTGAATTTATTTTGGCTGTCAGCTAGCAAGGAAAGTTAGCCTACAAAGCTGGAAGCTACCGTTATCTTCTTCCATTTGTAAAGGGTTGTAGCCTGTATGGACATTGTTTTGCGAACAGTAATTAACAGTTTCTACATGATTCAAGTGTGTTAACTTCTGTGCAGCATGAGTGGGGAGCTAACATGATGCAGCACGTACTCCCAGTGCAGGCTAACAGTGAAGTGGAGCAGGCAGGATGCGCACTATAATAAGGGGTTGGCTGATAGACAGGCTTGATCCAGGAGACACATTTGACAGAAGTACCGAAAATAAAACAAATTCTAGTACCGAAACGTTTTTCACGTTCCAGTATCGAAAAAGTACAGAAGTTTCGGTATACCGTGCAACACTACAAGCTAAGTTATAAAATACGATCTTAGTGTCAGGCTTTGACTGGGCAATTCAGAGAAACGGATCGTAATTTTGATACGCATAGAAAGGAGTCATGTGCATTCAGGTGCGTGTTCCGCTTCAAATTTTCTTCACAATAGACAAACAGGCTCATTCTGTTCAGAACAACCCAGGGTATGACGCCATGTCATCTTGTAACTGTACATCAAACATAGTGATCAGAAACGTTGACACGGTATATGAGATGAGTTTTATGATATGGAAATGTGAAGTGCACATTTGGACTCACGGCTGTTTGGCTTGCTTGTATGACATCAACAGTATTTATTATAATCCTCAACGTCTCATCTTTAAAAATACATAGTCCTCTTAATTTACAGCTTTTCCCTCGGACAATACATTTAGCAAAAGTTGCCCAATTTGCGGGAGGGATGGGGGCGGCAACTTGTGTGCTGTGCTCAAGTTTCAGGATGGCTGTCAGTCAAAACCCATACAGGGCAGTGAAGCGCAGAGCCTGAGCTCTGACGTCATTATAGCATGTTACTGTACAGACACTGCATTCCAATTCAGGCGCTATCGGTGCCCAAATCTGCTATTTTCAAACCGTATACAGGTACGAGTGTAAAGGGTTAAGATGGTTGACTCCTGTGTGTTTGTTTATTTACGCCCAGGGTTCTGGACAGACTGCAAGCTTCCTGACTATGAAGAGGTGGTGGGTCATCCCCCGACTCCCCCTCCGCCTTACTCCGAGATCCCCCCAGAGACCACCCCTGCCACCCTGCTGCCCCCCATCCAATCAGAAGCGGTCGTGGTGCTGGAGCCCCCAACAGAGGACGCGCCAAGAGAGGAGCAGGCCGCCAATTCGTCAGCAGACCAGGAAGCCGCGTCTGTGCCCAGCCAATCAGAGAGACCGGTGGAGGTGGACCGTGAAGGCCCATTGGAGGAGCTGCTGACCCGGCGCAGGCACGTGACGGGCGACTCAGGGATTGAGGTGTGTGTGTGCCAACTAGATGAGGGCTCTGGGCCGGAGGAGGACGAGGAGCAGGTGTGTCTGGGGGCTACGGGGGACTGCTGCTCTGCCTCTGATCACACCCTCAGACACAAAGAGAGAACCCCTGAGCCCCAACCTCAGCCCCAGACCAGCACCGGAGATCGCCTGGTCTGAGCTCCACCACCTACCATCCCAGAGGCTGCTGTTGCTGCTGGATCTGTGCTTTAAAGAGGGAGACCCAAGAGAGCTCTTGTCATTGTCATCATAACAATAACCCAGATACCACCAGCAAATGAAATGCCCCACAACTCACCAAATGAACCAGGTTGTCCTGTTTGACATGCTTCTCAGTTATGATCCATAAAATGATGATGATGATGATGATGACAAAGAAAAGCTCTTATTTGAGAAAGAAGATTTTTCGTGTGGCTAATGGTTTCATTCTTTAATACCCATGGAAGGTCCCTCTGCTTTGTTTAATTCTTAACATGGGGATGAGGAAAATGCCAAGTATTCATGGATGGGGAGGGGCTAACACTTCTAGAGAGACCACCAAGTGGTAAGAAGAGGTGTTGACGTTGGCACAGAATTGACTACATCTACCCACCCACCCCCACCTATGTCCCTCATTTTCCCACCCCACTGTCTGGCCTGGACATTTTCTTCTGGTCCTTCTAACATTTCACCTACGTGCGGACAGGACAGCATACCACAACGGTCACCAACCCACAGGCCTCTAGGCCCCAGCACATAAGAGCCAAAACAGAAGATAATGCTACAAGACAGAACTGACCTGAAGGGACTGAACAAGGGGTACAAACTGAGAAATTGAACTGTTTTTGTAAGGGTGTGTGTATTGTGTAATCTAGGGCACAGCTGCAAAGTGATGTCACCCCGGAGTCATTTTAGCCTGCGTCTGGTTTCCTCGCGGAGTGACAGCAGGGCTATTTGCATCCAGAGAAGAGGCTTGGAAGGGGAAGTGAAGATGTGCCTGTCTCTTATAGGCTCTCCCTCTCTGGACTGTGTCCCAATAACACCAGACTCCTCCCCCTAAAGCCCCCGCTTCCCATCCCTCATGACTCCACCAGTACTCCGGTCAACACTTGGCCAGACTGAAATGTATTGAATGGACTGGAACATATTTTTTGATGTGCGTGCTATCTGGCCTGACTGTGGCCAAGTGAACTGAAGACTAAGCTGTGACATTATCCCATCGCTGTGCCTGCAACTTGGTGTCTATAAAAAGCCTTGCAGGGTCGACCGTGTGCGTCCCAGACCGCCGGTGATGTTACGTGGAATACTGAAGGTTCAGCTCTATAGTACTTTGCTCCTCTATCATTTTCTTGTCATTGTATTACTTTTTTCTAAAAACCAGCTTTGGCTGAGGCCACTATAACCCACATTAATGGCAACACAGCGCTTACCAAGGTGCTGCTGTGGGTGTATTGTGTGTGTATAGGAGGGGTGTAGTCTTATTTAGTGTATCCACAAAGTGCCCTGGCCCCTGGTGTAGTGCACTCAACTCACCAGGCTTTAGACCACTTTTATAAACAATGCACTGGGATCTTGCATAGAGGGCATGAGTAATTAGTGTGTGTGTGTATGTAGATGTATGTTCTGATTCGTCGTGTCAGTAACGGTGTGTTTTCAGCGCCTGTTTCATATAGGGAAACACTCCCAGGCCATTGGCCCCTAGCTGACAGTGACGAATCGGCTGCTGTTTCGACCCAGAAGCAGCTGGAGCCTGATGGTGACGCACCTTCACCACATGAGTCCCCTGGTCGTGTGGGGCTCGGACGGAGTGAACCAAGGTTTTAAGTATAGCCTCCCTGTATCTAGTTTCATCATGTTGTTATGACTGCACCGGGCCTGCAGTGTGCTGTTGCGTACTCCCTTGGCTTGCAGTGGTGTGAACCCTGTAGGAGCAATGCTAGCGATTTATGGTGTTATTTTCCATTGTGGGGATGGCTTTGCTGTGTGTGTAGGGTTAGCGTAGCTGCACACTGATAAACAGCATGTTCCTCGGTGTTGTGCGTTGCTTGCCTAAGCATGTGTGTCGAAGCGTAGTTGTAGAATCGGGTGTGGAGTGCATGTGATCTTACTGTGCAGTTCCACCTAGAAGAAGAAGAAGCACAACAAAAGTCCAGCTGCTTTGGGGGGGCGTGTGTTTTAAATGGCAGTGATATATGATAGTTGTATTGATTTGTTTTCATGCAGCACATACTGGTCAATTAGGTTATGGACTGATGCACTGTTTATTATTCACTTCTAATGAAAAAGGAAATGGACTCAGATTTATTCTGACTATCAATCAAGAAATATTTGATCACCCCGTTGCAGGAGAACTTTCCTGCAATTCAGAAAATGTAAAACATTTAGTGTATTTGAGATTTGCACATCTGAGCTACCTTTGTTGCAGGTGCATGGTAAAAGAAGAAGCCCGCACACTGCTCTTGCTTGTATCACTGCTCATTATTAAGCTTTACGCATCGGCCTCAAGGCTTTTGTGAGTATTTTTAATTTGCACCCTTATGTAGACATTGCTCCACCCACATCTATTCAACGCATCTAATGGGGTTGGAGTCGAGGGAAATATAACTATGCATTTCATAGGTATTCTAATAGTGTGTACATAAAACGTATTAAACACGTCTGTAAAACCACAATGAGGACATCGACCTATCAACTAAGTTTTCATAAATCATTGGGTACAGTGCAAGAAAAAACGTCAGAGTAGGCTGACGTTTTTTCTTAATACGTTTTATGTACACACTTTATTGAAATGCACATTGTTATATTTGGTAACACGTTTATTTTCCCTCGACTCCAACCCCATTCGATGCATTGAACGGATGTGGGTGGAGCAATGTCTACATAAGGGTGCAAATTAAAAATACTCACAGAAGCTCTGACGAAGGCCTTGAGGCCGATGCGTAAAGCTTAATAAAGAGCAGTGATACTAGCAAGATTAGTGTGCAGGCTTCTTTCCTCTCATGTATTTGAGATTTAAGAAAGCTTCTGCAGTTTGTAATTTTCACTTTGAAATTTCAGACTTGATTTTCCCTTATGAAAAATGTATCAACCCCTATATACATTTCCATTAATTATAGTTTCACATTTCCTGTTACTGCATGATTATTTTCCTGCTGTAGCAAACTGGCTCAAATTTAAGATCCTACATCTAAGTTGTCTGTCTTCAACCGTGTGAAGCCTTGATACTGTAAAAGTAACGTTTTGAAAGTCGTAGAGCATAGTAATGCTCGCATTCTCACATTACGACAATAACATGTTTTTGATAAGACACCATAAGCTGCCTTCGTAGGTTGCTAGGGAACAGACATGACATGAGGGTCGAGTTGCAGAAGGCCTATGAACAGACTCAGTTTAAATGATCCTTCTGAGGCATAGGGAAATGCCTTACTATGGTGGTCAATTGTAGTTGGGGACAGGTAGACTAGATGTGTTTTAGGCTTCTGTATTTGATAAGTAGGCGGTTATATTTCAGACTTATGCTTTTGAAGACAGCAAAAATGTTTCAGCATGTTTTTTGTTTTTTTCTAGTAGTCCAGAGGAGTCCTTTTATACAAACTGAGTCAAGTGTCTGTCTGACATGTATTGGTCAGCTCAACTTGTTATTCTAGGATGTGGTTATGAGTTGCAGTCAACTTAAGAGTGAAACCACAAGACGAGATCATTACTCCTACATGGCAGAAAACTGGCCTGTAGAATAGGCAACATTTATTTTGTCAATGTATATGAAATATAAAAATGTTCCCTTGTTATCTGTGGTCTTGTTGATCTTTTTTATTTTTACTCCTTTTCTTTTGTTTTTTTGTTGTTCAAGGATATGATCGAGATTAGTTTGACATTCGAAAGCGTGTTGAATTAGTAACTGAAAAAATCAATGTAAAGGAATGCTGGTTTTGTTTTCTTGTGATTTCATATGAGATATGTTTGTTTTTTGAATGGTTGAGGAAAATCTCCCAATGACAAATGTAGAGGCTAAAGTGCATTCATTTTGATGCAGTATAGACAAATGAAGATAATGGAAATTGAAAAGGTGTTTCTTGTTTTTGAAATGAGGATAATGGGACTCATAGTTTTTCAGTCCCGTTGCTCACTCTGCTTACTGGGCAAGATTATTGCCAAACAAACTCTCCTTTGGCTTTCACATGTTTACCTAGATAAAGGGCTATCAGTCAGTCATGGACAAACATCCATCCATTCATCTGCTCTGTACTTTTCTTCTTTGCCTACAGTTGCAGACACGGCGATATCTGAACGTAGATGTTTGGATAGCTTTTCTGTAGTGAATAATAGGCGACTTGTACATTTTCAATTGATAGGCTTTATCTTTTTCCGTTTTGGTTTCAATGTCCAGAAGCTCTTATCCATCTCTCAAGCCCCCCACCCAGTCCCCATGGCCTCTCAGGTATACCAGCAAAGAGAGCACAAGCTAGGTTCAGTGGCAGGTTGGGTATGTGGTCCCTGGTGAGGTAACTAGCCCCGGGGGGGGGTTAGTCATGAGTCATTGCATCCCTCTGGATCATGAGCCCACCCCCCCCCTCTCCAGGGGGCCCGACCATACCGAACATGGTAACAGAAAGTGCGTGGCAACCCTCAACGACGTTTGTCTTTCTGAGGCAGGGTTTTTGCCCCTGCATGTACTGCAGGCAGTGCACAATTGTTATAATTTTTAGATTTGTTTGCCAGTACCAAACAAGTACTGTACTCAACCCTATACTCTCACACTTACATATGCATACCGTCTTATTGTCATGAATAGAAAACATGCTGTTTTTTATGGACATCTGTATTTACATTTACATTTTAGTCATTTAGCTGATGCTCTTATCCAAAGCGACTTAGTTAGTATTTGACATTGATCTGAAATCTACCATTGGCACCAGTGCCATCAGTTGTCAGCTCAAGTTTCATTTACGTTGCTCACTTGGCCAAAGCCCTGTCATTGTAGAATACCTGTATTCCTCCTTTCACCCGAAGTGTTCCTCTTCATTTCAACTACACACGCCTCTGTAATATACTGTACTGTACCTGACTAGGCTATGCAAAAACATAAACCCACTGATGTATGCTGCAATAACTCTCTTCTGTCTGTGGTTGCTAGTACAAGCAATATTACTCTCAGTACGTCACACTGTACCTCAGTTGGTATGTGTAATGTCTTTGTTTAAAAAAACAAAATAATATAAAAAATGAATATTTTTATTGCTACTATGTGTTTTGTGTGTATGCTTTAAAAGTAAATGTGTATATCTACATGTTACCTCTTGGTGGGGAGTTAAGATGAAAAGCCATTCTAGTACATGTTTCACTTTTGTTTCTGTTAATCTTTAGTGACATGGTGGATAAAAGTACAGTCTGCTCTCATTCTAATCTGCTAAGAATATTACTCCTGGTTACTTATTATTATTATTATTATTGGGGAGAAAATACATCTGTTTGGTTGTGCAAGCTAAATTAGTGTTTTAGAATGCTTTTTTTGCGATTAATGCTATTTAATCTTTCCTCAGACTAATATTATTCTGTTTGCCCTGTGGGTACTTTTGCCACTGGTCCACCCCTTGTGTGTTGTGCTGTCATGGCGCATTGGGTGTCTTTGTAAACAGCAACATGTCTGTCATAGTTTTTGAGGAATTTTCAATGACTAAATAGTAATGGTGAATCGTTGCCTTTTCTCCTCGATTTCCCCAACCTTTTGATATAGAAGATAGCGACTGCGATCTGTATCAAGTATGGAAACCAATTTAAACCCAATGCTAGATAGCGGAGTGGAGACACCTCAGCTAGTCCAGAAGTTTTCTTTAGATGGTCTCTCACTTAGGGGTGGGTTGCACTTGAATTATATATCACCAAGGCAACAATGTACTCGCGCCATAATCCAATGATCAAGGATGCTCTGTTACCCACTTGTAACCCAGATGTTTCTTGCATTTCTCCCTCAACCATAGTTTGATAATGTCAATCGGATGTTGTGGTTGATTCGTGTGGAAAGACTTTGCCAAAAAAATGAAAATACCCACGCTTGAAAAGGAAGTGGTTGACCACAAGCGCATACCCCTTTCGCTATCACCTAGATCAAGCCAAAAACATAGGGGGAAAGCACTGGAATGTGTTGTACATTTGAATGCTTTAGTTTAGTGGGGGGTCTACTGTGTACTCTCGGGTCATTTGCATTTTCTTTTTTATAATAAAACGAACATTTGCACTCTTGAAGTTATACTGTCATTTTGGCTCTGACTAGGCTTGAGAAACAACGCAGCATTCAACTATAGTGTTAACGTTTGATAGACTAGCTGACAGCATAACGTACTCCACACAGTGAGCGGTTCCACGCGCAGATATCTGAACCAGTTGAGATATTAATCATGAGGAGCATCAGACTTAACCATGTATGGTTTCATGATATACAATCGCATGACTTGAGTAGAATATTTCCACTGCAGCATTATTAGACAACCTTCAGTGAGGGTAATACAACAGTACCTGCTATCATTCCTACTTTAAGACACCTATTTGGTTGAAACTAGGCCAAAGATATGATGGGACTCTATCCAGAAAATACACTTATCTACGGTACATCTCTGAATGGTCAATAACCATTTTATTATCCTGAGCCAAAGTGTAAGGAGTGAGGAAACTATGACATCACTAAGGATTGTTCTTTAATGACGACAACACAAGCATACCATCAACATAATAAACAAGCTCCCGTATTTTACAGTTAGTCTGTGGCTCATCTTTCCACTGACAGTGGCTTAACAGGAGTAAAAGGCAGTCATACAGTGAAGACGGTGTGGAAAAGGCAGCATGAGCAATTGAGTGCAATTCACTGTCTTCAAACTGCTGATGAGGAGACAAGACATGGTTCAGATGCAGTGTGAGGCTCAGTGGATTGTCTTGTTTTTCTCCGAACGTGAAATTAAAATGGATTGTGTCTGCAGTATTCCATTTCCAAACTATCCCTTTCAGAGGGATTCTATAATTTATTGAAATTCCTTTGAAATGTTACTGGTTGAAATTCTGAGGTCAGGTCTGGGAGAAACGGCAACATACACATTGTTTTGGAATCCATACCACTGGCTAGGGCTCTCTGGTATTATGACACAAAACCAAAACAGTTTGGGTGGGTGCAGAAAAGCAAAAGGAGCACACCCTAACTTGATGAAAGGGTACATTTAGTGTTTGGGATGATTTCTAGTGAACAAAAAGTCTGAGGCTTGAAAATACATTTAGACCACAGGAAGAGACCATGAGATGCAGCAAAGCCTCACTTGTGCTCTGTTCCGCAGTATCAATCAACCCTATTCTTATCTGTGCGATGTCCCAACCTCAGACATCCCTTTCATATATAAATCTAGATAGCATGTGGAAGAATGTGAACCATGTCATTTAGCTTACAAATGTAAGTATATCACACAAATATTAGACAAAGTGGATTAAGTTAAGACTGGATAGTGCAAGATCAATTCAATGTAACAGGCAACTCATTGAAAAAAACCAAAAGGAGAGGGATTGGTCACCTTTTCATTTCTTATGGTCATATACAGAATAAACATTTAAAAACGACCTAATCAATCTTGACATAAATAGTGGTAAAAAATTACTAATCTAGCACCTTCATGCATTCTACTGTAGATGCAGTTTGACAACACAAAGCATCAATTCTCTGCAACCATATCTTTCAAACTAATCAAATTGAGTATGAGAATTCATTGAAAGTCAATCAATTAAAATGCACAAAGACTTACATTGATTGCAAGCACCATAGAAGCAAATATGACATACCTATCCCAATGCTAGGATGCTGTTTCTAGAGCAAAGCAGAAAAGCGACGGATCAATTGCCAGATAGGCCATTGATAACATCTTTGGTGTGACAGTTCAAGCACTGAAGCGTACTGCTGATGGGAGCTGGTCATGTGGTTTGTAGAGTTAGAACAAATCGGTTACTTTGTCCCTTTGACATTCAAAAGACTAAAACAACTGAGTATAAATCTGTGAGTATAAATCCATCTCCCAAGCCCCTTAAAAAGACAACCAAACTTAACCAGCAATGGCACCGTCTACTGACAACACTGAGGTCATTTCACACCAAGTACATAATAATATGTTCTCTATATTTGTGTGTAGAGTAAGGCCTGGTTGGTGGGGGTGGGGACAGGGAGTAAACATTTCTGTGTGTCTACTCATGGCATGGGTCAGTGTGGTTTTCTACTGTAGTTGTTGAAATGCATCCATCCGCTGCTCAGTCTTTCCCAGGATTCACTAGTGTTGTCCCAAGGGTACCTCTGTCTGTCAAGCACATTGGTCTACATTGGGTGATCAGTTACAGTGTCTCCATCTTGTCATTTCAGTGTCTCAGTGCAGTTTTGTCCTCAGACTACAGTAGTAGTGGTTATGATGGAGGCCTCCCTCCCTCCCGCTCTCTTTCTTTTAACCCTCTCTCCGTCTCAGTAGAAGCGTTTGCGTCTGTTCTCGTTCCAGTGGCTGTAGACGATGAGGCCGACTACGATGAGCAGGAAACAGCCCAGCATGGAGAAGAGGATGGTGAAGAACATAGCAATACTACTCCACCCTTCTTCATTCTCACCCACTGACACAGAGAGAGAGAGAGATTTTAGTATGGATAGAAAAAGTGAAAAATAGAGGAAGTGTCAAAGAGCCCTAATAAGTAGGCCTTAGACAAGTACGCCTTGTCCGAGCCAGAACGGCCCATAGGGGAAGTAGCCCATCTCCTGTTTCTGTAGCGTGAGGCAGCTTGATGTACAAGTACACCCCCTGGACAGGAAGCTAGGTTATCACATGGCCTTACCCCCAATCCATCTCCTTAACGCTGAGTGACAAGCAGAAAGGCATCAGGTCCCATTTTTTGTGTCTCTGGTATGACCTGAGATCGAACCCCCAACCTTCTCCCAGTCTTGGGGCAGACACTCTACTGAGTTGGTTAAGGAGCACTCTACATGCCACTGAGTTGGTTAAAGAGCCCTAATAGTATAACATAATTTGATAGTATTTGTAGTTGAGCTTTTTATCAAGAATAACTATGTTATCCGAGTAACATTAATGAATGTGTATGTTCTTCTGTTTGTGTGAGAGGTAGCGAGCCTTACTCTTTAGTAGGTCCATGTTATCTACACTGGGTAGAGTGATCTCCTCTTCCTCCTCCTTTTCCTCTGTCTCACTGCGTAACACAGTCAGCTGGTACAGTTTCAGGGAGATCACATCGTGATTGTCTGTGAGGAACAGAACGTTTCAGTCATTCAAAGCAAACTGCAGCAAAAACAACTTCACTGGACCAAAATACAATACCTTAGTTCCCTATTAGACCCCGTGCCCTCTGAATTTGACTTATGTGTCACATGAATTTCATTCTGGGCAGTGTAGTCACAATGAGTACATCAAAATAAATGATAGTGATAATAATCTGGGATGGCCACATCTCACTGGAAATTAGATACATCAATGAAACACCAAGTAGATTAAGTAAATGGAAAACTAGGTGCTAATTCATGGCAATTAAACAGTTGATGTAAATGCCATTTCATTAATGCTACTATGTAAAACACAGTAGAGGGGAGTACTACCAGAGAGATCTCCAGTGACGGCCGAGGCTCCAAAGTAGTACCCCTGGGGCAGCCGCACCCCCGGTATGTCCAGGCAGTCCCTCCATTCATGCTGCCCATCAATGTCAATCATAATCTATTAGAGACAGAGACAGAGATTGGGAGTATGGTTGACAGGGTCAGCCAGGTCACCCGTGATACAAGTCAGTATTCGACGTCCATCCATGTCTGAGGACGCCGGGAGATGACATGGAAACCAGCCACCAGGGGCAACAGCGAGCACTGTTACCTTCAAGTACTTTGGAGTACCTTAAATGAAATTTTGGGAAAAAAGGCAAACTCAACTCCATCATTCATTGAATCAGATGGCTCATTCATCACAAAACCAACTGATATTGCCAACTACTTTAATACTTTTTTCATTGGCAAGATTAGCAAACTTAGGCATGACATGCCAGCAACAATTGCAAATCTGACCAAATTATGAAAGACAAGCCTTGAAATTTTGAATTCCGTAAAGTGAGTGTGGAAGAGGTGAACAAATTATTGTTGTCTATTAACAATGACAAGCCACAGGGTCTGACAACTTGGATGGAAAATTGCTGAGGATAATAGTGGACGATATTGCCACTCCTATTTGCCATATTTTCAATTTAAGCCTACTAGAATGTGTGTGCCCCCAGGCTTGGAGGGAAGCAAAAGTCATTCCGCTACCTAAGAATAGTACAGCCCCCTTTACTGGCTCAAACAGCCGACCAATTAGCCTGTTACCAACCCTTAGTAAACTATTGGAAAAAATTGTGTTTGACCAGATACAATGCTATTTTACTGTAAACAAATTGACAACAAACTTTCAGCATGCTTATAGAGAAGGACATTGAACAAGCACAGCACTTACACAAATGACTGATAATTGGCTGAGAGAAATTGATGATAAAAAGATTGGGGGCTGTTTTGTTAGACTTCAGTGCGGCATTTGACATTATCGATCATAGTCTGCTGCTGGAAAAACGTATGCGTTATGGCTTTACACCCCCTGCTATAATGTGGATAAAGAGTTACTTGTCTAACAGAACACAGAGTGTGTTCTTTAATGGAAGCCTCTCAAACATAATCCAGGTAGAATCAGGAATTCCCCAGGGCAGCTGTCTAGGCCCCTTGCTTTTTTCCATCTTTACTAACGACATGCCACTGGCTTTGAGTAAAGCCAGTGTGTCTATGTATGCGAATGACTCAACACTATACACGTCAGCTACTACAGCAACTGAAATAACTGCAACACTTAACAAAGAGTTGCAGTTAGTTTCAGAATGGGTGGCAAGGAATAAGTTAGTCATGAACATTTCCAAAACTAAAAGCATTGTATTTGGGTAAAATCATTCACTAAACCCTAACCCTCAACTACATCTCATAATGAATAATGTGGAAATTGAGCAAGTTGAGGTGACTAAACTGCTTGGAGTAACCCTGGATTGTAGACTGTCATGGTCAAAGCATATTGATACAACAGTAGCTAAGATGGGGAGAAGTATGTCCATAATTAAGCGCTGCTCTGCCTTCTTAACAACACTATCAACAAGGCAGGTCCTACAGGCCCTAGTTTTGTCGCACCTAGACTACTGTTCAGTGGTGTGGTCAGGTGCCACAGAGAGCCTTGGGAAAATTGCAGTTGGCTCAGAACAGGGCAGCACGCCTGGCCCTTGGATGTACACAGAGAGCTAATATTAATAATATGCATGTCGATCTCTCCTGGCACAAAGTGGAGGAGAGATTGACTTCATCACTACTTGTGTTTATGAGAGGTGTAGACAAGTTGGGTGCACCGAGCTGTCTGTTTGAGCTACTGACACACAGCTCGGTCACCCATGCATACCCCACAAGACATGCCACCAGAGGTCTCTTCACAGTCTCCAAGTCCAGAACAGACTATGGGAGGCGAACAGTACTACATAGAGATGCAAGTAGTAAAATTAGATTTAAAAAACAGATAAAAAAAAACACCTTATGGAACAGTGGGGACTGTGAAGCAACACAAACATAGGCATAGACACATGCATACACACACGATAACATACGCACTATAAACACACGTACACATGGATTTTTGTACTGTAGATATGTGGTAGTGGTGGAGTAGGGGCCTGAGGGCACACAGTGTTTTGTGAAATCTGTGAATGTATTGTCATGTTTTTAAAATTGTATGAACTGACTTAATTTTGCTGGACTCCAGGAATGGGGATCCATAATAAAATGGGGATCCATAATAAATACAAATACAAATAGAATGTTTTTGAGATTTTTGTTTTAAGCCTATCCCAAACCTTAACCCTTACTTTAACCATTCGGCGTTAATGCCTAACCTTAAGATTTCGGAGTTAATGCCCAAACTTAACCCTAACCTCAAAAAGTCTGAGTTAATGCCTAAACATAACATTAAACACTTCGAAATTTGACGTTTGAGAAACATGGACGAACATCTAATTCTGACGTGAGACTGTGAGAGCTAGTTGAACAGGGTATGCCCAGGGACTACCTAGCACAGTCAAAGCATCATTTCTCTGACATTTTCTTGCAAAGTTGAGTTAACGGGTGTGAATGAAACAATTCACTTCAACACAACGGTTTTCTCAGACTCTAGTATGTTTTTATAGGAGTGACCCAATATGCATCTTGGATGAAATTAGTTATTACATAATTATTATTTAGTTAGTTATTACACAATATCTTGGATATTGATAACATCATAGAACCGTTAAAATGTGTGTGTATGTGCGTGCTCTCACCGTGAGCCTGCGGCGGACATATCTGATGAAGAGGAAGGTGTCGTGTTTGAGGTTGCGCACCATGGCGTTGCAGCCGCCCAGCTCAGTGGGACGCCCGTCTCGTTCGTGGTCGTAACTAATGCTTCCGTTCCCCACTATGGCCAACACAAAGGGGAAGATCCTCTGGTGGAAGGTGTGAAAAAAGAAAGGAGGCACCGAAAATAGTGAGAGACCGAACCAGAACAACAGGTAAAAGATGCAGCATCCACAACAATACAATACTGCTGGTAATATTTGCCTGAGTGACCTCATTCTCTACCCTACTCATTAAAATGCAAATTATATTCAAGGTGTAACCAATTGTTAATAGGTAGGAAACAACAACAACAACATTTAACATGGGGCAGCATGTTCATTAGGGGTTGATGGTAGTAGCTTAGGAGAGGGGTATGGGAGGCATTTGATATGGGGGTGGTATGGGTGGTCCAAACATGGGGTACCTGTGTGCGTGTGGTGTACCTCGTCTTCTGCGCCTGTCTCCATAGGGATGCACAAAACAGAGGATCACAACACAAGACCCATTACACAGGTCTGTGAGCCCTGCCCAAACAAGCACTCCAACAAAACCTAATAAATATTCCACTGTATTGCCTTGCTTGTATGACTCAGGTCTGTATTGAGGTGGGAGGTGTTGGTTGTCAGTTAGCTAAAGCCACCTCTCAGAGCACAGGAAGATCAGGACATGTTACCTAGACTTGACAGGATATGACACATAAATAAACCCAGCTGCCAGACAGTAAAAAAAAAGGAAGGAAGTAGTTGAGAAAGTCCTATAATACAGTGGGGAAAAAAGGTATTTAGTCAGCCACCAATTGTGCAAGTACTCCCACTTAAAAGGATGAGAGAGGCCTGTAATTTTCATCATAGGTACACGTAAACTATGACAGACAAATTGAGAAAAAAAAAATCCAGAAAATCACATTGTAGGATTTTTTATGAATTTATTTGCAAATTATGGTGGAAAATAAGTATTTGGTCAATAACAAAAGTTTCTCAATACTTTGTTATATACCCTTTGTTGGCAATGACAAAGGTCAAACGTTTTCTGTAAGTCTTCACAAGGTTTTCACACACTGTTGCTGGTATTTTGGCCCATTCCTCCATGCAGATCTCCTCTAGAGCAGTGATGTTTTGGGGCTGTCGCTGGGCAACACAGACTTTCAACTCCCTCCAAAGATTTTCTATGGGTTTGAGATCTGGAGACTGGCTAGGCCACTCCAGGACCTTGAAATGCTTCTTACGAAGCCACTCCTTCGTTGCCCGGGCGGTGTGTTTGGGATCATTGTCATGCTGAAAGACCCAGCCACGTTTCATCTTCAATGCCCTTGCTGATGGAAGGAGATTTTCACTCAAAATCTCACGATACATGGCCCCATTCATTTTTTCCTTTACACGGATCAGTCGTCCTGGTCCCTTTGCAGAAAAACAGCCCCAAAGCATGATGTTTCCACCCCCATGCTTCACAGTAGGTATGGTGTTCTTTGGATGCAACTCAGCATTCTTTGTCCTCCAAACACGACGAGTTGAGTTTTTACCAAAAAGTTATATTTTGGTTTCATCTGACCATATGACAGTCTCCCAATCCTCTTCTGGATCATCCAAATGCACTCTAGCAAACTTCAGACGGGGCTGGCTTAAGCAGGGGGACACGTCTCGCACTGCAGGATTTGAGTCCCTGGCGGCGTAGTGTGTTACTGATGGTAGGCTTTGTTACTTTGGTCTCAGCTCTCTGCAGGTCATTCACTAGGTCCCCCCATGTAGTTCTGGGATTTTTGCTCACCGTTCTTGTGATCATTTTGACCCCACGGGGTGAGATCTTGCGTGGAGCCCCAGATCGAGGGAGATTATCAGTGGTCTTGTATGTCTTCCATTTCCTAATAATTGCTCCCACAGTTGATTTCTTCAAACCAAGCTGCTTACCTATTGCAGATTCAGTCTTCCCAGCCTTGTGCAGGTCTACAATTTTGTTTCTGGTGTCCTTTGACAGCTCTTTGGACTTGGCCATAGTGGAGTTTGGGGTGTGACTGTTTGAGGTTGTGGACAGGTGTCTTTTATACTGATAACAAGTTCAAACAGGTGCCATTAATACAGGTAACGAGTGGATGACAGATGAGCCTCTTAAAGAAGAAGTTACAGGTCTGTGAGAGCCAGAAATCTTGCTTGTTTGTAGGTGACCAAATACTTATTTTCCACCATAATTTGCAAATAAATTCATGAAAAATCCTACAATGTGATTTTCTGGATTTTTTTTTCTCAATTTGTCTGTCATAGTTGACGTGTACCTATGATGAAAATTACAGGCCTCTCTCATCTTTTTAAGTGGGAGAACTTGCACAATTGGTGGCTGACTAAATACTTTTTTTCCCCACTGTATGTGACATAACATGTAACAGTATTGTAGCTACTCCTTCCCTCCACAGAAACACATAGAAGAGGCTGACGGGTATATGCACATACTGTACCTCAAGGTGTTTTTCCTCATTGGGGTACGTGTCCACAAATACACCCAGCCCTGTGAAGAGGTCCTGATTCCCAAACACAGGACCTACACAATGACAGAAATGCATTTATACAGTTGCATTGCATTGTACCTGCGCTCTGATATTTCTGTTGGAACTACATTGTGGGGATAGTACCTTTCTGCATGCGCTCCTTGGTGTACCAAATTCCCAGTCCATCCCCATTCAGATTCTTCTTGCCTTGGCCATGAATCTTAAAGTGCACTTGTAACTCCCAGTCCCTTAGGTGACAGGGCTGGACACGCAAACATACATACATAGATATGACCATTTTGGCAAAGCCATGCAAAATGTGAAATGTATAGAGAGCAGTGGAGGCTGGTGGGAGGAGCTACAGGAGGACAGGCTCATTGTATAGGCAGGAATGGAATCAATGGAACGGTATCAAACACATCAAACATATGGAAACCACATTAGACTCCGTTCCATTTATTCCATTCCAGCCATTACAATGAGCCCTTCCTCCTATAGCTCCTCCCACTAGCCTCCTCTGATAGAGAGAATCAGTATCAGTGATGTAGACATAACAGTGTGCAGTGTTCTGTACTCACAATGCGGCTCCACACTGCCCCCTGCTTGCTCTGCATGTCTGTTGTGAGGCGCACCTGCTCTGTGGTTACCATGGCATCGCCCATCAATTCCCAATGGGATGAGCTGGAGGACCCCACACCTGAGTACACATTATTTGACAATCTTGTTTGTAACACACATAAAACAGAAGAGACTGAGGGACAGTTGTCATATTTTAAGTTGTACATAGCAGAGAGAGAGAGAGAGAGAGACCCTTGATGTAGTGGGAGAAAAAAACAATCTTACGACCAGCAACACTCAATAGTCAGTATAACATTGTTGCAATGTCGAATATACAGCATTCTTTTCGGTGTTCTCACATTCTACTATAATAAAGGGTGATACAACGGAGCTACCTTGATAGGGTTTTGACAATGAATGCTCCCTTTTCAGAAACTCCTCCATTTCATGATGACCATCTTCGGCAAAAGATCGACCTGTTGTAATAAGAAGAAACACAAACGTCCAATATGTTCTTAAAGCCATGGTCCGGCGAAGAGAAATATCGGAGAGAATATTCAATATCTTGCAGTTCTTGTTTGTGGCGGCTGCCATTTTAGATTGAGACTCCTCCCATTCAACCATTCAACCATACAACGTCGTCTTCTTCTTCTTCATCTTCTTCTTCTTCTTCTTATTCTTCTTCTTCTTCTGTTGGGTTTATCGGCGATTGGCATCCAACGTTATGGTGCATTACCGCCACCTACTGTACTGGAGTGTGGGCCAGAGACAGGGAGAATCCAAATCCTACCTACCAGCCCCGTTGCTCTTAAAAAAGATAACAAAATATTTCAGACTATATCTAATGACTGTCTACTCAATATACTCTTTAAACTAATTTCCTGTATCCCCTTCTCCCTCATACTAGATCTCATCCTTTCTCTTTCCCTCTGATACTGCCCACACTGTAGTCTCTGTTTCCTGACAATAATCACACTTTCCTGTTGGATGCCTTCCTATCACATTTATTGTCTCATTCAACTGGCTGTGTCCCACCCTTCATTTTGTAAAAATAGCCTCCTCTCTTCTGTCCCTTCCTGCCGTCCTCCCCTCCCCGACTTTGTACTTGAAATAAATGCCTACCTTCATTATCTCTATTCCACTGCTCCTGCTATCTCTGCACCATCACTGTATATATCAGTCTTTTTGCCTCTGCCTTGCTCATTGAAACTTCAACGTCAACATCTCCACTACTAAGTGCTTGTTTAGCCAGTACATCTACTGCCTCTATCCCCTCCACCTCCACATTGGCTGGGACCCAAGTAAATCTTATCTGTATATCCATCATTGTAATCCTGCCATGGGTTTGTAGCACCTCATAAAGCAGGTCTTGTCTGCTACGTGAGCTAAAGGACTGGAGACTCATTAACACTGCAAATGAATCAGAGCAAATAGCTACTCTGTCTTGTTTGACTTCCTCCACCCACTGCAAGGCCAACAGTATGGCCATCAGCTCCGCCGTATATACAGCCAGATTATCTGTAATATGTTTCCTGACTTCCACCCCACATTCCTGCACTACAAATGCTGACCCAGTACGTCCTCTCCTTGGATCTTTTGAACCATCTGTGTAAATGGCCACAAAATCCTGATACACAGTATCCAGACGTCTCTTAAACAAATCAGATGGATCAACACTCTCCCTATCTTTCTGTAGTCTCTCCAACACTTCTAGATCAACTACTGGAGGCGGGAGTAGCCATGGTGGATTTACAGAAATAGCTACTGTTGGACTAAACTCCCTTCCGTACAGTCCCATCTCCTTCACCTGGGTATTACCCACCCACCCGAAGCTCGTGTTCTGTCTTCGCTCATGTTCCCAGCATGCCTTTAAAATCCCTTTCACAGGATGAGACACCCCATGTCCTTGTAGGTTGACACAATAATTAATTGCCAGCTGCTGTCTCCTAATCTGCAATGGCATATCCCCCATCTCCCCTTTAATGCAGCCGCTGGAGACGTCTGAAACGCCCCACTACATATTCTGAGTCCTTGCCCTGAATGACATCTAATCTTTCCAATGAGGTCCGGGCTGCCGAACCATATGCTATGCTGCCATAGTCTATTACAGATCGGATCAATACAACATACATGGTCTTCAATGAGGAACGCACAGCTCCCACTCCTTCACCGTCAGACAGCGCATCACATTTAGCACCTTCTTACACTTTCCCACCACTCTCTCAATGTGTTCTGCCCAGGTCATTCTAGTGTCAAAGTATACCCCAAGGAACCTGAAGGCCCGCACCCTCTCCAAGTTTCTCCCATATAACCTCAAGCATACCTCATCTCCCACCTTCCTCCTGGTAAAGAACACTGTTTGAGTTTTCTCTACAGAGAACCTGAATCCCCACATTAATGCCCACCGCTCTACCTCATCAATTGCTTCCTGTACCTTCCTGACTATGTATGGCACATTTCTTCCCCTCTTCCATAAGTCTCCATCATCTGCAAATAACGACCTCCCTATATCTGGCTGTACCCGAGATTAAACATCATTGATCATGATTGAGAACAACAGAGGACTAATCACGCTCCCCTGTGGTGTACCATTATCTACCAGGTAGCTGCCTGATAAAGACTTCCCCACCCTCACCTGGATAGACCTTCCAAACAGGAAATCCTTTATCCAGTTGTACATTCTTCCTCCTACCCCCATAATATCAAGCTTGATTAACAACCCCTCCTTCCACATCATATCATATGCCTTCTCCACATCAAAAAAGACAGCTACAACAGGCTCCTTGTTCACCTGAGCCTTCCTGACCTCTGCTTCTAAGCAGAGCACTGGATCCATAGTTCCCCTACCCTTCCTGAATAATAATACTATGCCATTTAGCAGACGCTTTTATCCAAAGTGACTTACAGTCATGCGTGCATACATTTTTGTGTATGGGTGGTCCCGGGGATCGAACCCACTACCTTGGCGTTACAAGCGCCGTGCTCTACCAGCTGAGCTACAGAGGACCACACTCTGAACCCACTCTGAACCCACTCTGATGTGGCGATACTAGCCCTCTGCTCTCCAGGAAGTAAGTTAGCCTCTCCATAATCATACGTTCCATAATCTTACATACATGTGATGTTAAAGCTATTGGCCGATTGCTTGTTGGCCTCGTTGGATCCTTCCCGGGCTTCCGGATTGGTACCACTACTGCCTCCTTCCAACTGCCTGGTAGTTTCCCCTCCTCCCACACTCTGTTGTACAACACCAATACCTTAATCAGTGCCTCATCACTAAGATGGGCCAACATAACATAGCACACCTCATCTTTCCCAGGTGAAGTTAACCCAGCATTACCTATTGCTCTAAATGCCCTGTTCCTACTCCTCACCATTGCCCCACATTCCTCCATCCACCATGGGACTGCTTTCCTCCTCCTCCTCCCTGAACTCTTAGGTATAGCCTCAGTAGCTGCCCCCACTAACGCTGTTCTCACCCAGTTATTCATACTATCCACATCCCCTCTCATATCCACCCGAGCCATCACCTGCTCACTCAGCTCCTGAAACTGATCCCACTTTGCCCTTCCAAACACCCACCTGCCTACTCCATCTACTGACACCTCATCCTCCCTCCAGCCTACTGTGCATACTATGGGGTAATGATCACTCCCTACTGTCGACTCTTCCCATATCTCCCACTCACATATTCCTGCCATCACACTAGATACCAGAGTGAGGTCCAAGGCAGACTCTTTCCCTGTGGCTACATCAATCCTGGTCCCTCGGCCATCATTCAGGCACACCAGATCTTTCTTTTCTATCAGATTTTCCATCACTTGGCCATTTCCATCCATCCGTCCCCCATCCGTCCCCCCCAAAGCGTGTTGTGGGCATTAAAATCCCCACACCATACAATGTCCTGTGGATTGTGATTGGGTTGTTGGGTTGCATGGCATCTGGTTATTTGTTCACTCGGCTGTCAATTAAATTATACACTTTCCAAATCAAATCAAATCAAATCGATGTTTATTTATCACGCGCCGAATATAACTGGTGTAGACTTTACAGTGAAATGCTTGCTTACGAACCTATCTCAACAATACAGAGTAAAAAAATTAAATAATAATAATATGTGGACAGCCGAAGAACCCTTTTAGGTTCTAGATAGCAACTTTTTTTTCTAAGAGTGTAGATACAGTATGTACATGAAGGCAGGGTAAAGTGACATAATGATAGATAATAAAGAGAGTAAAATAAAGAACAGAGCAGCAGCAGCAGCAAATGATGAGTGCAAAGGTGTGTGTGAATGTATGTGTGTTTGTGTTGTGTCGGTCTGTGTGTGTGTGTATGTGTGTGTGGGTGTGTGAATGTGTGTGCATACGTAGTCTATGTGAATGTGTGTGTGTTTTGTGTGGGAGTGAGTGTGTATATAGTTTGTACAATGAACAAAATTATAAACGCAACATGCAACAATTTCAAAGATCTTACTGAGTTACAGTTCATTTAAGGAAATCAATCAATTAAAATAAATTAATTAGGCCCAAATATATGTAATTCACATTACTGTGAATACAGATATGCATCTGTTAGTCACAGATACCTTAAAAATAAGTAGGGAGTGGATCAGAAAACCAATCAGTATTTGGTGTGACCACCATTTACCTCATGTAGTGCGACACATCTCCTTCGCATAGAGTTGATCAGGCTGTTGATTGTGGCCTGTGGAATGTTGTCTGACTCCTCTTCAATGGCTGTGTGAAGTTGCTGGGTATTGGCGGGAACTGGAACGCGCTGTCATACAAGTCAATCCAGAGCATCCCAAACATGGGTGACATATCTGGTGAGTATGCAGGCCATGGAAAAACTGGGACATTTTCAGCTTCCAGGAACATGAGGTGATGGCGGCGGATTAATGGCACGACAATGGGCCTCCAGGATCTCGTCACGGTATCTCTGTGCATTCAAATTACCATCGATAAAATGCAATTGTGTTCGTTGTCCATAGCTTATGCCTGCCCATACCATATCCCCACCACCACCATGAGGCACTCTGTTCACAACGTTGACATCAGCAAACCGCTCACCCACACGACGCCATACAAGCTGTCTGCCATCTGCCCGGTACAGTTGAAACCTTGAATCATCCATGAAGAGCACACTTCTGTAGCTTGCAAGTGGCCATCGAAGGTGAGCATTTTCCAACTGAAGTTGGTTACAACGCCAAACTGCAGTCAGGCCAAGACCCTGGTGAGGACAATGAGTACGCAGATGTGCTTCCCTGAGACGGTTTCTGACAATTTGTGCTGAAATTCTTCGGTTGTGCAAACCCACTGTTTAATCAGCTGTCCGGGTGGCTGGTCTCAGACGATCCCGCAGGTGAAGAAGCCGGATGTGGAGGTCCTGGGCTGGCATGGTTACACATGGTCTGCTGTTGTGAGGCCGGTTGGACGTACTGCCAAATTCTCTCAAATGACGTTGGAGGCGGCTTATGGTAGAGAAATGAACATTAAATTATCTGGCAACAGCTCTGGTGGACATTCCTGCAGTAAGCATGCCAATTACATGCTCACTCAAAACTTGAGACATCTGTGGTATTGTGTTGTGTGACATAACTGCACATTTTAGAGTGGCCTTTTAT